GTGACTCACTGATTCATTGATCTGCTGATTCATTCATTAAAATTCTGTTAAAAAAAAGGTGTCACAACCGAGCAGCTTTTAAAGGAGAAGTTCTTTAAAAATCCTATAAAAACACAACTAACATGTTTTTGTCTGTGTATCCAGAGCCTCATATGTCCTCTTCCTCTACACACTGCAGTTTAATCCCACACACAACAAATGTGGATTCATCCACAGCTGAAAATAGTCCCCAACAAACGTATTCTCTTCTCCGGTTTGATAAAAAATACAGAAAGTCAGAGAGTACTGAACACGTTGTTGGTTTTGCTCTTTTAATACAGTTGGATGACAATAAAAAACAGAATAAAGGTAAATTATGGGCTGTAATTTAAGTGGTGGTCGTATAAAGAATAGTTTGGTTTTTTATAGCTAAAATCTGCACACTGGCCCTTTAAAGGGGAGACAATGCTAAAAAAACACTTGATACACGTAATATAATTGAATTATCATCCTATTATTATGTGTATTACTATAAAATATAATGTATAAGAATATATAACATATTTAAATCATATAATATATACTGTCAGTTGGTTTTTAAAGACACTTGGCCATAAGATATTTTAGGGCATCAACATGGAAAAGTTTGGGAACGTCTGCTTTTAAGCTCAATTCCTTCCCTAAAAAATCCATTTAAACTGGTGTCTGGCTTTTTGGCATTTAGCGAAGTGTAGTAAATGCCTAAACTAAATGTCACCAAACACACGGTCGGTCGTCCACTTGTCGGAAGATCGGTGGTTTTACCCTCTCGGGGCCTTTCAGTGTGCGGATGTGTGATAAAGGCTGAAAGTGCTGCGTTAAGCACTTCTGAGTGGTCGAAAGACGCTATGAAAGTACAGTTTGATGCCGTGTTTGAGGGGCAACTCCACCAAGTTCGCCCGTCAGCCTTTCGTCAGGTCTGGGAAATTAACCCTGATGATGTCATAGTGATGTCACAGTGATGTCATGAGACCGTCATTGAGACTTTTATTGATATTAAACCGAAATCTTTAAAAAGTTTGGAAGATGTTTCGCTGTATTCGTTCGTTGTATAACAGGCCTGGAGCGTCAAAGGTGCTCGTTTCAAAACTGGCATCATTGGAAATATAGGATCCAGTGTTTTTAGAGCTTTAGACCTTTTTCACAGCAGCCATTTTGACATGAGATAATAGGGTAAAACACAGCCCTTACCTGTGATAGTAATTCAATTTTCATTTAGGTCAATCAGAGTCAGGGTGCTGCTGGAAAGGCTGCGCTACACTAAACGGAACAGAGCCTTATCCCTGGTAACACCTACTGTGTTTTACCCTACTATTTCATGTCAAAATGGCTGCCGTGAAAAAGGCCGACAGGGATTAAAAAGTCAGGATATCTCAAGTTCTGTTTTTAATGAATCAACTTTATGGACGTCACATGCAATACTGAATCCCTTGAATACTTTTTAAAGTGGGCTGGATGCGTCTCGATGTGGATTTCAGCCTCACGTAGCTTAAATGAAGGGTTTGAAATAGAGAAACGGTTTAAAATATCCGGACAACCACCAACTCGAGGGCCCGTTGAAAGGAATCATCTGCTGTTCAGGACCGATCAAAGTAAAGCTGCAAACTCTCAAACAGAATAAGCATTCAGCTCTTAGGAGCCGAGACCTTTTTTTATTGCTGCTGTCTGGTGCAAGTATTGCATCTCAGCCTTGGCATTGAAAAATAAAGCTGTGTGTGTGTATGTGTGTGTGTGTGTGCGTCCCACATCAAATCACGCAGGGTGTGAATTTTGGAAGTGTGACTGATTAGGAAACATCATAATTGCATTGCATTTCCCGCTGAGATTCTCTATTTTGTTACACTTCATTCCCCATTCAATGCACAGTCTAGACCAGACTAATTGAGTGTCTATGGTGTTGATTCAGACTATTAACCATCTGTGCCTCTTCCTCTCTCCTCATCCCTCTTTCCTCACCGTCTCTCCTTTCGCTCTCTGCAGGAGTTTGGAGGACTAGTAGGATGCTGAGTATCTTTCCTCCTCGCAACTGTTCTCCACCCTGCTCTCCATGACCTGAGAGCGCCACCACAGCGGGAGGAACGAAACACCAGAGAGAGAGAGGAAGAGGAGGGCAGAAGGCCAGGGAAGGAAAGAAGGAACACACTATTTTTGTTGTTGTTGTTTGTTTTCCTTTTCCGAAATGGCGGCGACGGAGGCCAACGCGGCGCCGGTGGTCCAGGAAGATGGGAAAACCCCAGAGAGCAAGCCGACAGAGGCGGAGCAACCGGCTAACAACGCAAACTCAGAGACTGTCAACAGCGAAGTTGTCGATAAAGATGGCCCCGCTGTCAACAGCGAGGTTGTCGATAACATAGAGACTGTGAATAACGATACAGCGACGGCGGCGGCGGCGGCGGCAGGAGCTGAGGAGGGAGAAGCAGCAGCGAGCGGGGAGGAGGCACCTCCTCAGAGCTCGGAAAACGCTTCCTCCGCTGAGCACAAGACCTCGTTCCTGGACTCCTTCCTCAACAAGAGCGGGCTGGGGAAGGTGATGGGAGGAAGGAAGAAGAAGGAGCATAGCACGGCCACCGGAGGAGAGGAGGCCGCAGGTGAAGGAGGGGAAAAAGAGGGAGAGAAGGGAGGCGAGGAGGCCGCAGCAGCCGAGGGAGGAGCAGAGGGAGGTGCAGAAGGAGAAGCAGCGATAGAGAAAGCTCCAGAAAATGGGGAGAAGGAGGAGGAGAAGAAGGAGAAGGGCAAACCGGCTGAGGCTAAATCCACAGTTCGAGATCTGATCAGGAAGCCAGTGGCGAGGATCTTCTCCCATCGCAGCACCGAGAAGAAAGACGGCACCGCCACAGAACCCCAGAAACCAGTAAAGGTTCGGTCCAAGTCCCTGGACCGGCTGGAAGATCCCGAAGCACTTAACACCACCGCAGACTCCACCGTAGAGGAGGGAGGAGCGGCAGGAGGCGCAGAGGGAGGCGCAGAGGAAGAACAAAAAGCCTCGTCCTCCTCGGCAGCCACCAAGCACATGAAGCGCTGGCACTCCTTCAAGAAGCTCATGGCTCAGAAGGCGCACAAGAAGAGCGTAGGCGGAGAGGATGGCAAGGAGGAGGGAGCAGACGGAGAAGGAGGCGGCGGAGACTCCTCCACGCTGGACTCCAAGGAGTCGGGGCAGAAGAGGTGGAAGCTGAAACGCTCCTGGACCTTCCAGGGCCTGAAGAGGGACACATCCATGGTCGGCATCAGCGGCAAGGCCAAGGGCTCCGACAAAGACTCTGCAGACAACGCCAAGCCAGAGGAGGCGGCGGCGGAAGGAGTCGAGGGAGAAGAGGAGGCGAAGGCAGAGGGTGGAGCAGAGGAGGCGAAGACGGAGGGCGGGGAGGAGAAGGCTGAGGCAGGGGAGGAGGAGAAGGCGGCGACGGCGGGAGGCGGGACTGTGACGCAACACGCCAACGAGATCTGGACCTCCTTCAAGAAGCGCGTCATCCCCAAGTCCAAACGCGCCAACACAGAGTGCGCTGCCAGCGGGGAGGAGGATGCAACTGCAGCCGCCACCTCAGGTGAGAGAGAAACTGAATCCTCAGACGAGTTCGAGTTACTGTCGCAGAGAAAAGTCCTCTGGTTTCAGTTTATCCCTGAAGAGTTGTATCGTATAAGAAGCTGTTTTAAAGGACCAATGTGTAAGATTTAGTGTTTTTACATGGCGGACTCCGCCAGAAGAGGATAAAAACATCTCATTCTAAAGGAACAAAAATATTCTTAAATTCAGGTGATTAAACACTAATGAAAACATACCTGTGAATATTCTGACAATAGATCCTCCTCAGTGTTACACACTGGAGCTTTAACCTTCCACAGAGTCTAATAGGGTTTTTATTCAGTGGACACCGTTAAAAAATGCAGGCAGCGTGTTTGCACTTGTTTCGTGTCGGCCGCTGTCCGGGGAGCACAGCCAGGAGTTAGCGGCTTGCTAACTCCGGGGGAGGTAATGTAATTGAACATTGTCCCAAATAAAATATTCAACATCTGATGTGAAATATAAATCACACTGTAGCTTCAGTCAACAGTAAAGACTAAATTTAGCTTACTCTCTGCCCCTGGCTGCATACAGTACGAAGTACAGGAACCCTGGGCTCTTTGTATTTTGTATTTTGTGTAGAAGTATTTGTGTAAATACAGAGAATTTCACCTAAATTCTTCTTGTATCATCTTCAGATCAGAGAATGTGACATGAAAATGGGCAGAAACACAAATTAGATGCTGATTGTCCACCAGAGTCACTTCAAAGTAGATTAAAAATGCAGAGTTGTTCCATTGTAATATTGATTCAATTTACCTGGGATTTAGAAATGGGGTTAAAAGTAAATATTAAACGAACCAGGAGGTCACCGATTAACTGTGTTGCTCCGTGTGCTGTTAAATCTTCTATACCAGTTAAATAAACCTGTGATATGATGGTGCATTTCTCAAGCAGAACTGAAGAAATATAAAAATCAATTCAAACTGAACCAAAATTGTCCCACTGGGAGTTTAAATACGGCTATTTTTGGTTTAAATTTGTATTTTGAAAATGGATTCAGCATCCTCACTAACTCCTAAAACTTCTCCTATATCGTCCAACATATGTGTATTAATGCTAATTATGCCAATTGCAAGTTAGCATCCGGCTGCATTCAAATTGGCTGCAAACAGACGATTTAGTGGCCGAAAAATGAGCAGCTTTAAATATTATGTTAATCATTCTGCCTGTAAAACATCATGAAGCTACCTATTAATATATTAATCTGAATCCTTTGTAATCAATCACTCTGCAGGAGGAGCTGCTGTTTCAAAGAAAATATCATTCATAAAGAAACTCTCCTCTTCCCTGCAGGTGAGGAGGGAGCCGCAGAGGAGGGCAAGTCCGCCAAGGCCAAGCGCTCGCACTTCGGCCGCGCCGTGTCCCTGAAGAACTTCATCATGCGGAAGGGCAAGTCCACCAGCGTGGACCTCAGCGAGGGTGCCAAGGAGGAGGACGTCACGGAGGGAGCAGAGGCGGTGGAAGAAGGAGGCGCCGACGGTGAAGCTGCCACAGCGGTCGAGGAGACCAACGATAAAGACGCTGCGGCTGAGAAGACTGAGGCGGTGGAGAGCGGAGGGGAGGTGGCGAAGGAGGCGGAGAAGGAGGCGGAGAAGACGCCGGCCGACGCTCCAGTGACCAACGGGGAGAACGGCTGCTCCAATGGCACGGCGGAGGAGCACGCCACACACAATCACCAGGAGGAGGAGAAGACGACGGGGGACAGCCCCGTGAAGAAGACCAAGGAGGCGGGAGCGAAAGAGGAGGCCAACGCCAAGATCATCAACGCCACGGCAGCTGTGAACAGCGGTGAGTTAGAGCACGCCGACCGGGACTCTGATGAGGCACAAAACAGCAGCAGCAGCAAAGAAGGAGATACTAACAACAGACAACAACAACAACAAGTACCAGCACAAACAAACGATAGCAGTAAACAAACCAGCTGCGAACAACC